GCCACTGCACTCCAGCCTGGGTGACACAGCAAGACTCCATCTCAAAAAAAAAAAAAAAAAAATGTTCCCCTCCCAGGTCGCTTCTCCAGCCTTTTTAAGAACCCCAAGTCCCGGGCCAGGCACAGTGGCTCACGCCTGTAATGCCAGCACTTTGAGTGGCCAAGGCAGGCAGATCACCTGAGGTTGGGAGTTCAAGACCAGCCTGACAACATGGAGAAACCCTGTCTCTACTGGAAATACAAAAAATTAGCCGGGCCTGGTGGCACATGCCTGTAATCCCAGCTACTTAGTAGGCTGAGGCAGGAGAATCGCTTGAACCCGGGCGGAGGTTGCGGTGAGCCAAGATTGCACCATTGCATTGCAGCCTGGGCAACAAGAGTAAAACTCCGTCTCCCAAAAAAAAAAAAAAAAGGACCAGTCTCCCCTCATCTTGAATGAGTTCATGGGCTATGGCTCCGCTGCACTATCGCCTTCTAAAATAGAAATCCTGCTCTCCCTCCATTCCCTTTTTATTTCAGGAGATAGCAATCTATTTAACCTCCTTTCAAAATCAGCCGGGCAGTCACACCTTAACATGAGTTCCCTTGTGCTCTGTCATCTCCTGCCTGCCCTCCTTCTCCAGTCATTAAAGAACAAATTGCTCTCAGCCTCCCACCCCAGACCCACACACTTCCTTGGGTCTCGCTCCAAAGAGGTGACAGCAGAGGGCAGTGCAGACACCAAAGAACCCTGAGCCTGGCTTCCCTAGGACCAGTGTCGGCCAACAGAAGCAGACCAGGCAGGAGGCAGGAGGGAGAGTGGTGGCGGCCGGGGGGGCGGTGGGGGTGGTTTGAATACACCCTTGAAAGCCAGCAGACCCCCTGGCAGCACACAGGGTAAGAAGGGCTCCCTGGCTGGGCTGCCCTTCCCGGAAGACCCCTCTGAAGGCATCCGGCCCCCCAGGCCCCTCGCCACCAGACCCACCGCCCGCCTGAGGCCTCCACAGCAGACAGCAACTCTGTGACAAGACAGGAGCTCCGATGAAGGAGCCCCATCCCCAGCCCGCCCTCCCACGTTTTCCCCAAAAGTCTTTCCAGAGTTAAAGGCCTAGACTGTGGTCACGGCAGGGCAGCGGGGCCGGGCTCACCGCGCTTCAGTCTCTCCATGGCACTCTTGCTCCCCGCGTACGTGGGTCTGATCTCCTTCCCCAGCTCTTCAATGATGGCCAGCAGCTCCGCGTATTTGCTTTGGGGCACTTGGCTGTTCCCAGTTCCCTAGAATCAGAAAGAAATTGGTTCAGCATGGCCGGGCGCGGTGGCTCAAGCCTGTAATCCCAGCACTTTGGGAGGCCGAGAGGGGCGGATCACGAGGTCAGGAGATCGAGACCATCCTGGCTAACACGGTGAAACCCCGTCTCTATTAAGAAATACAAAAAACTAGCCGGGCGAGGTGGCGGGCGCCTGTAGTCCCAGCTACTTGGGAGGCTGAGGCTGGAGAATGGCTTGAACCCGGGAGGCGGAGCTTGCAGTGAGCTGAGATCCGGCCACTGCACTCCAGCCTGGGTGACAGAGCGAGACTCCGTCTCAAAAAAAAAAAAAAGAAATTGGTTCAGCAAAATTAGCTGGGCATGTTGGTGGGCACCTGTAGTCCCAGTTACTCAGGAGGCTGAGGCAGGAGAACTGCTTGGACCAGATCCACGAGGCAGAGGTTGCAGTGAGCCAAGATCGCTCCACTGCACTCCAGCCTGGGCGACAGAGCAAGACTCCATCTCAACATCTCAAAAAAAAAAAAAAGGGGTTCAGCAGCCTGACCCCAAGGCCACAGGCAGGTGGGTGGAGAGGCCCCTGGGCCGGTCAGAGGAGGGAACACAGTCCAGCCTTAGACTCCTGGGGTAGCCACCTCAGCTGGGCCAAGACACGTCCCATTCTAGGGGACAACTACAGGTTAGGGAGATGGTCCTCACCCTCCTATCCTCACACACTCAGGAAGACCACCCAGTCGCCTCCAGGAAGCAAGTGTATCATCTCCAAAGAACAAAACAGGGGAACCAGCTCATCTTGGCACAAAAGGGTCCAAACAGCATTTCCCAGGATGCAGATGAGTAGGAGGGCACATCCCAGGTGCCGAGCCTCCAAGCCAGTGGGGAGACAGAGGCCACACCTGGGCCACCAGGACCACAGCCATCGGCCATGGCCCCGCCAGAGCCTGGAATGCATTCCCTTCTCTCATCCTCCCACCCACAGGGCCCACGCCCCAGAAAACCTTTCCTCCCACCACCACTGGGAGCCCCACAGCAAGCACCCGGATCAGCGAGGCTGGGCTCCCGGCAAGCCCGCAAGCCCAGACCACCTCCCCTTGGCTGCCTCCTCCCAGAGCTGCACCAGCTCCCTGGGCAAGGTCCTCGCCTCCTCCCTCCTCCACCGCCGCCTCTGTCCCCTGGCCTTGCGCTCTGTCCTCCTGTCCTCATCTTGGTCCAGCTGCTCTGCCTCCCCACGGCACTGCCTCCAGGCCTCACGGGCCTCCTGCCTGTCTCGGCGCCGCCGTCGCATGGCCAGAATGTGGCACTGCCACTCCCAGCTGCGCCTCTGCCTGGCCTCCCGCAGCCACCGCTTCTTCAGCTGGTCCCGCTCACGGGCCCGCACCTGCTTCTCCTCCTGGGGCAGGATGGCTTGGCGGGGCATGGCCGGGGAGCCGCCCACTCGGCAAGGAACAGGCTCCGTGGCGACCTCAGAACACTGGCACTGGGGCCCAGCCAGGGAGAGAATCTTCCCACTGGGACCTTCGACAGGGTGGCTCATCCCTTGGAGATGTGGGGTGCAGCTCACATGGTGGCTACCCCATTCCTGCTGTTCCCCAGCCTGGGCTGGGGGTACTAGGATCACCCTTGGGCTGATGAGGAGCCCAGGTCTTGGGCAGTTACCAAGTGGGGGTCACAGTCTGGAAAGTGGTGGAACCAGGCAGCGGCCTCGCCTGGGCCACACTCTCAAACACTGGCCCTCGACAAGAGGCACCTTGGCTCTCGAGACAAGGCCACCTCCTCTCTGCTGGGCCCACGACCGTGGAGAGCAAGTGGGAACCGGCCGTTTTCTGTCCCAGCTTGGAGAGCCAGGGTCAAGGTCAGGCCTCACTTGCCCAGGAAAGAGAAGTGAGGAGACCCACCAGAGGAGCGCGTGGGGTGGGGGCCGCAGCGCAGCTCGGGCTGCTGCCCCTTCCTGGTGCTCTCCTGTCCGCTCCACCTCACACGTCCCTGCGAAGCACAGTCCCCAGTGCCCTCCATTCTGATGTGTTCTGAGCCAGAGCCCAGTCAGGGCCTTGGGCTGAGAAAGCTCTGTCCCATACTTTCTGCTCCTTCGTCTCTTCCACCAGCTTCTCTCCTCTGATGGTGGGGAGCATGTCTCCCCCCAGCCCTCCCACCATGCCATCACCCCCATTGCCATACCTGGGTGTAGCCTAGGGATGGTGGCCCGTAGTCACTGAGCAGCTGGCGGTACTGTGAAGACGCCATGCTGGTGGAAGGAGAGTGGACACTCCCAGCTGTGGGGTGGGGAGAGAGAGGCCAGGAGTCAGCTCAGCCAGTTGTACCAAGGCAAGGACTCCAGGTCCTGCAATGGCCCTTGCCCAGGACCCACACCACCACCTGTAGCAGGATAGAGAACCCTGCTCTCCACCTCCAGTCTGACCAGTGTAGAAGACAGATAATGAAATGTAGCTACAAGGCACTCGGCCATCCCCAGCTCTGTAGCAGCTGCTGGTCCTCACAGAGCTCCGTCCCATCCAACCAGAACCTTCCAAGCAGCAGGGCTGCTCCCAAAGATAAAATTACTGCCACTCCTGGCCTCATCCCTGCCCATCCCCTCTCCCTGTGTCCTGGCCCCAGAGGCTGAGAACCTAGAGGCCACATCACACCACAAGAGCCCACTGCCATGGAGGCTGGTCCAAACCAGCGGAGCTTCCAAGCCTTTTTGTCCTATGTGCCCAAATCTCTGCTGTGCTCAATGACGGGGAAGATGGGAAGGCCTTAGAGTATTTGAGACCCAACCCTGGCTGGAGACAGGCACGCTGGACATCAAATTAGGAATCTAGAGAACACCACGGCCTCTGTGTGCCCCAGATAAAGCCCCTCAACCTCTCTGTGCCTGTCTCCCCCTCCCCAAAGAGGGGACCAGACTCTTGGCAGTCTATGTCCCAACGGCTCTGCATTCCAGGAGAGGAGGGTTGAGGCCCCACATATGGGATGCAACATTGGGGCCTGTCCAGGGCTGCAGTCAGTGACCAAGCAGGGCCCAGCCCAGAACGCAGCCTCCTGGATCTGGGAGGGGAGTCTGAGGCTGGGAGCACGCGGCCCCGCAATGGCGTCCCAGTGGCCATTAGCGGGTAAAGGATATCCTGCAGAATGACAAACAGCGGTAACCATGGAGAATTTACCTAGTCCTCCTCGGCAGCTGCCCGCCTGCCGCCCCCAGAGCCACACGGTCTCTCTCTCACACACACAGCGGGCGCTGCAGACTTGGCCTCGGGGATGGACAGCTGGTGCCAGGCTGGCCAAACCCACCAGCTGCTCGCTTGGTGTGGGTGAGGGGAGGGGCAGAGGAGGAAGGAAGTTCAGGGCCTCAGGCTGGGGGAGCCGGGAGGAGCCCTGGAGAACCCTGGCTCCAGGCCCCTCTATTTAGAGACATGGACCTGAGGGAGTTGCCCCAGGGCACACAGCAGAGCACCTGCCCCTCCATGCAGGGAGCCAGCTACCTCAGCACCTGCCCCTCTGTCCGGGAGCATCCGGGAGCGGGGACAGCCCCGAGTTGTCTCCCTGAGTCTCAGGTCAGCCCTGGATGCCGCCACTGCAGCCCAGGGTTATGTTCCAGCTTGGGCTGGACCTGGAAACGTGGACTTGGATCCTGAACTGGGCAGAGCACCATGCCACTCCAAGCCTCAGTTTCCATGCCTCCCACATGGGGATGACGAGACACGTGTGCTACAGGGACGGGCGGCTTGGGATGGGGAAGCACTACGCCCGCGATATCCAGCACGTCCACGGCCACTGCAGGAATTGGGCAGGGTGATGTCCCCCAGCGCCCCCTCACCACATCCGCCAAACCCCAGTTTCCTGAGCTTCTGATGTGGCAGCAAGCGTGGCATGGGGAACACAGGCTCTGCTGGCAGAGACCTGGGTTTCGATCCTGGTAGCTTCACCTCTCTGGCCTCGAGGGCCAGTCTCTGGGAGGGACCATGGAGCACAGGACCCTGGGGGTTTGCAAGATCCCAGCAGCCTGGCAGGAGGGGCGCTAGCCACTTCCCATGCACCCTCGAATCAACTCGGTGTGCCCCCGTCCTCTTCCCCAACTGCTTTGCCCACTGCTCCTCACCTCTCCTTTTCTGTCCTCCCCACTGGACTTGGCGCCAGCCCCAGCTGTGCCATTCCTGGCTGTGTGACCTCAGACAGGCCCCCCGCCCTCCAGTCCTCAGTTTCTCCATTTGTTAGAGGCAGTGCTTCCCAAGAGAAGGTCTACGGGCTCCAGACCCTACTATTTGATGATACCGGGGTTAGGTTTTGCGGGGCTGAGAGGAAGGAGGAATGAGAAATTGTCCCATTTTGGCTGGGGGGACGAGGAGCAATAGCTCGGTGACTCCAATGCTCTGTCCAGGCCAGTCCCTTGTTCAGGGTTGGGGGGGGGGTGTCTAGTCCTGGAGAGAGATGGCGGAAATGCCCCGAGTTCCACTCATGGTCACTCCTTCCTGCAGACACAGGGACCGGGACACAGGGACCACGTCAGCGCAGGCCGTCTCGGCGCATCTCAGACAATGAGCGCAGTGTGCAGGAGCGAGGGGTTGGCAGAGGCCAGGAAGCTCCTGGGGCCAGGCGCGGCTCCCCGCCCCCACGCCAGACAAAGAGCGCCGGGGCCTGGGGAGCTGGCGGCCTTCCCGCCACTTGGGGCGCCTGGGGGGCTCTGGGGCGGGGGAGGCGGGGGCTTTGTCTAACTCCGCCACTGCCACCACCGGCCAGGCCGCGGCTTGGCAACCCGTGAGCAGGAGGCAGGGCTGCAGGGCGTGAGGGATGATGACAAGGAAGCCGGAGGAGCAGCGGCGGCAGCGGAGAGTCCATCTTGGATGCAAATTGCAGGAGGGGAGCTGGGGTTCTGCAAAAGGGTCCATGGGGGAGAGGGAGGGGCACCAAAAAGCCCAGATCTGGGGATCTCGGCACTCCTGAAATTCTCCACAGGAGAAAGAGAAGAAAAGCTGAATACAGGTGCAGCCAGCTCAGAACAGGACTTCAGGGGTCCCCGTGAGTGCCGCTATCCCTGTGACCCCAAACCCTGAAGGTCCCAGTTTAGGGCCCCGGCTCCAATGACACCAGGTCAAGCCTGAGCTGTCAGCCTTGCCCAGGCTGGCAACACCAGCCCCTGCCCTCCCCACAGGCCAGAGGAAGAACGCTGCTGGCAGTCCTACCTGGCAACAAAGCCCGTCTTTGTAAGGTCTGCGGACCCCAGAGGAGGTGAGAATGTTTGAGAAGAAAACAGTGGCTGTTTGCTCTTTGGGACTCCGAGCCCACAAGTGAGCAATTCAACTCTCCCTCAGCACCCTGACGCTTAACCCTTTCCTGCCCCTACACCTCAGTGTCCAAGGGTTTTTTTAAATATCGTTTTTATGGGTCCTACTTCGGATGTGGGAGGTTTATGAAGTCAACGTTTGCAAACAAGGCCCAAAACTCGAGCAGGAGAGCCAGCGTGGCACCGGTGACCAACGGGGCCACTCCTTTCCCTCCGAGTCCTTACCCCCCACGCCCCGCAACACAACCGCCTTTTGGGAAGTCTGTTTCCGACCAAGTGTCAGAGAAGAGGGGCCCCAGTGAGGTCACAAAGCCCGGCACCTACCAATCCCTCAATGTTGCGCCCACTCCCCACGGCTCCCTCGGTCCCCTGGGCTCAGCCCGCAGCTGCCTGACAACTTCTGGAGGAGTTTCCTGGGAGCGCCCGGCTGCCGCCGCAGCCCCAGGAAGGTCGAGGGGAGCCCCTCCCGGCTT